CTTGCCAGAAGGAAGGGAGAACAGGTTAGGTATCCAGTGCACAGCTTTCTCATAACGATAATTGATAGCATCTATACATTCACGGGCTGGCACACCACTACACCATGCAAAGTTAGCTGTAGAAACTGGCTGATAAGATGGTAAGTCAACATCTGACGGGCTGGAAACAGAAGGAGGAGAGCGGGAGGGAGGGAGAGATAAAGAATTAGAGGGGGAGAGGGTGGAAGAAGACGGAGAAACAGCGCCTGCAACAGATGATCGACTCGAAGCAGCAGACGATGGGTTTCGGACAGTGCTGCTAGATGCAGGAGACGACACAGTAGTTACCAAGGCCTCGCTCTTAGACTGTAGAGAAGAGCTTACAGAGGAGACTGGATTAAGGCCGTGCCGGTCAGGCGAGGAGACGGCGCCACGTGGCTGTGACTGGGACGCCTGACTGCTTGTTAAGTTCTGGCATCTCCCAGACTCTTTAGGAGCACAAGAGACACACTTTAAGCCGTTCTTTACACAGACACACCAGCGACAAGCCCCGTTCTTGTGGCAGCCACAGCACTTTCTCCTAGTCGCCATTTTGCCCATGATGATGTCCTTATAGCCCATGGTTTTTTCCAAAAAATGGCTCCGAAATCACCCCAAATTTTTATTACATTTTCTGATACATATTGATGTCCTCATGCTGTGTAGAAAGTTTGAGGTGATTCCGACTTCAATTTTCTGAGTTATGGCCATTTTAAAAAATGAGCCAAAATCTGAAAAATACCCAAGGCTATAGCCCATGATTTTTCTAAAAAATGGCTCCGAAATCACCCCCAATTTTTATTACATTTTTTAATACATATTGATGTACTTATGCTATGTAGGAAGTTTGAGCTGATTCTGACTTCAATTTTTTGAGACACGGCCATTTTAAAGTAACAATATTGTGCCCTGGCTTAATTGTTTTCTGTAGAATTATGTTTCATTTTATTATTGATGTACAAATAAATTTACACACTTTCCCCTTCATGTATGTATAGCTTGAGTCCTTAACGAAGGAACACCTGCTCCTTGAAGAACTCTATCACCAACAAAAACTCTCACTATCGACTCTTCGTAGAGAAAATGTACGCACACAACAAACTAAAGAACTGAATGAATCACTGGTCAGAGAGAAAGAAGGTATGTATACAATATAAGTGCATTTTTATATATCATTATTTTTAATTAAACTTTCCTTTAGGTGCAAGTAATTCAGTGTCTGTCCTAAGAAGAGAAGTAGCAAAGCTTCAGATGCTATTGAAGGATAGAGAGACTGACATTAAGAACAAGGAAGGACAGATAGCAACTTTGAAGGAAAGCCTCTGGAAAGCACAAGAGAAATATGTAGAAAAAACAAAGGCAAGCACTAATACCATACATACACATGTATACATGTACATGTACCATGTGTGGGTGAGAAATGAGAATACAACTGAACTGAACTAAACTATACAACAGTAGGTGAGAAGGTTCAGTTATACTGTATAGTGGGTTTATTTCAAGAATAATATATTTCCCGAATTTTGCAGATTGTTGAAGATTTGTGAAACTAAATTCCTTGAAAATCAATTTAATATGGTACAAGATGGCAGAAAAGTGGCCATTCGTTAAAATTAATTCCGTGAACCTCTGGATACAGGCCATTCGCAAAAATTATTATCCTGGAAATAAACCTGCTATACGGTACACTATGCAACATTTGTTGCAAACAACTTGTTGCATGCAACACAGTTTATAACACATTTTTAACACAGTTCATGCAACATGTTGCAAGCTCCATTGACTCCTGTATAAACTGTGTTGCATGCAACAAGTTGTTTCACAACAAATGTTGCATAGTGTATGTTGTGCTTTAAGAACTGTTCTTAGTGTAATGTGAATGATCATATACAGACTACATGTACATCATATGAACATACTCTACAGAGTTTAGAGTCCAAGTATCAGTGTATCAAGAACATTAACCAGGAGCTAGAGGAATCACTGTTCTC